GAGATCAGGGTTGCTGTGATCGACAGTTTCTATTTTCATTGTTGTGATTATTATTTTTATTATTGATACTTACTATTGTTGTTGCTTTAGTAGTATTGTTACAACTATTACTATTTTCATTGTTATGATTTTCAATTTTTGTTATTAATACTTACCATTGTTGTTTCTATTATTGTCACTCCTGGGCTCACAAGTACCGCGATGTCCCGCGCGATCGCACGTCGGGAAACAGCGACTCGGGTGGGGGGGGCACTTCGCACGCCTGCTGTGCTCTGAGAAGTAATGCATATATATATATAGTTATATGTATACCAATCATTATATATATATGTATATACATATATATATATATATTTATGTATCATCTTGTGTATATATATATATATGTAGTTATGTATCATATCATCTCATATCATACCATATCATATCATTTCTTCTCAATCAGTCTATCTATCCATCTATCTACCTACCTGCCTATCTATCTATCTATCTACCTATCTATCTATCTATCTATCTATCTATCTATCTACCCATCTGTGTATCTATCCATCTATCTATCCATTAACATGTATGTATTCATATATATATATATATGTATACATATGTATATTATATATATTATATATATACATATGTATATATACATAATTGTAGAAGCGAGGTGCGGCTTTGCCACGGCTGCCACTGGTGCCCGGAGCTCCGGCAACTCGCATGATTTGGCGACATTTGGTGTTGCATAGGTGCTACACGGGACAGTTCAGAGGCTTGCAGCGACAGGCAGTTCCAAGCAGATTTGACGGGTTTCTCGGTGCTGAACCTCGTGCTCATGCTCTACAGCAACTGCAGCGGTGAGGGGTCGCGCAGGGAGAGGGAAGGGCAGGACATGCCTTTCTGGAAACTTTTCAGACCTGTTCTCTGGTATCGAAGCTACCATGGAAGCCACCTATGGAATCTTGGTGTCCGGCAGGTAGAGTTCGACCTGGGCATGCAGGCTGGGGACTGTTGGTTTTGTTGGCCGCGCCACGTGTTAAACAGCTTAGCTGGCAGCTGGTTGTTATACAGCAGTGGGTCAGATGCCAGCAGCAGCTTGGGACTGTCGCTAGATGCATCATGAAAAGTGTTCAGTACACTTACCATTATCGGCTCCCACGATCTTTGCCAGTGCTGTTACACAACGAAGTATGCACCGTGAGGATGGCAAGCCCAGCGCAGTCGGCGCGTACAGCCCTCAGCCTCGGGGTCGCCCTGGTTGCAGGGAGCCTTTGCCACTAGGGCTTGGGGTGTGCCATTTGGGTCATGAGTCACTTGGGCTTGGCGTCTGGGGTTTAGGCGTAGGGTTCGGGTATTGAACTTAGGGGCTGGGGTTTTAGTAGGGTCAACTAGGGTTCATGTCATTGCAGAAGAGAGGAACCATCATGCAAGCCCTTCATCAGTCAGACATATACGACACCTACACGCACATGTCTCTCTCTCGCTCTATATATATATATATGTATACATACATACACGCGCACACACACACACACACGCATATACATATACATATACATATACATATACATATACATATACATATACATATACATATACATATACATATACATATGCATATGCATATGCATATGCATATGCATATACATTTACATATACATACACATACACGTACACATACACATACACATACACATACACATAGATATACATATACATATACATATACATATACATATACATATACATATACATATACATACATACATACATATATATGTATGTATATACTCGGTTGGCCTTTCGGGCATTTTTAGTTTTTCTGGGTTTGGGTGGTTTCTAGATAAGAAGGATAGTAGGTTGACACATGACAGGCTTTTCCTGCTCAAACCCCAAACCCTAAAACTCCCTAAGCCCCTAACCCCTGGCCTCTCCTTAAGCCCTTTTGAACAAATTTTATCTTTATGGACAAGCTTTGGATCATGACAGCTGCCAGGGACGAGGCTCTCAAGCAACTGGAGGCCGCTCGCAAGGCCTTGGAGGCCTCTCAGGAGAAAGCGAAAGCCTTTCAGAAGAGACTGCAGCAGGTGGAGTCCCATGTGCCACACACACCACCCGGTTTCTTTTACGTTGCTGCTTTTTTGGTGTAGTTGCTGTTTTCTGTTTTAGTTGGGAGGTTGGCGTAGTCTTAGGAGAGGCCCTGACAGTCGAGGAAGAGTCCAATCCCCGGCGGCAACAGAACCCAATAGGAACATGTCCTCGCGGAGGTCGCGAGGCGCCTGAACATCAGCATGAAGGGCAGCACCTGCAGGAAGACAAAATGACAATGACTGACATGACATTGACCGTGAAGCTTCCCGTCGGAAAGAGCGCCACAGAGCAACCCCGCTTGAGAGGCCCAGTGCTGAAGCATGCACGATGTTGGACCGAAGCACGGAAGCATGCGTTCTTGGTGACGCCCCTAGCCGCTTACAATCAATGTTGCTCGTCAGCAGGCCTCGGCCAAAGAGAAATCAATGATGACCCAAGCAAGACAGGAAGCTTGCACTGGCAGGCACTTGCATGCACTCGAATTTTCAGCCCCCTCCATAACTGCACACCTCGTCCCCTTTACAAAGCATGCCAGCCAAGAAAAAACAGGAACGGCCTCCCAGCCCCTAGCACTGAGTCGTTCTGTACAAAGCCTCAAATTCCTTGTCGCCTCCGAAAGACCGTTCTTCTCGGTGGTGTGGTACTATCAGGTAACAGTGATAAGAAGGTAGGGAAGCAGGTAGCAGTTGCTTGCCTGGTCCTTCTTTGGAGCTGCGAGAAGTCTAGTGTTGTGCATAGCTTGGCTGATCCATCTTTGGAGCTGCGAGAAGTCTAGTCTTGTGCATAGTTGCTTGGCTGATCCTTCTTTGGAGCTGCCATGGGCTGCCAGAAGTCTAGTGTTGTGCATTCATCGAACATTCATTTCAGCTGTGCCCATCTGCCCATTGTCAGGCTGGGCATCGACGCATCCCTGACATAGCAGAGCTGTCACGCTGTCATTGCAGATGTGCTCATCTGCTGCCCGTTGGGCATCGACGCATCCCTGATATGCCCTTTACAGAGCAGCGCAGTGCTACTATGCAAACAGTGCAGCATCAGGGTTTAGGGCACAACAGCCAGCCGAAGCCGGATGCCTGTTGCTCCCATGGGGCTCGCCTGACTCCAAGGCAAGGGTTCTCACAAGACGTTGGATCTGAGCTTGCGCTTCGGGACCTTATGAGGTGCACGGAAGCATGCCCGCTGCTCTCCAGGAGTCGCCTAACTCCGAGGGGTTCGGACGAGACAATGGATTTGAGTTGCTGTTTTTGCGATGTTGTAAGGTCCGCAGTAAGGCAGCGGAGGCCGAACGGTCGTCTCCCAGTGTCATTGAGGCAGGGCATTGCAGACAACTGCGCCGAGACAAGGGTTTTCCGTTTTGACTTAATTGCCCTAGTCCGGTGACGCAGGTCATGGACGAGTCCGTGCCGCAGCCCACCGAGGCGGGATTCACTGTTTTAGCGTTCTCGGGCCGTGAAAGTGCTGAAATGGTGATTCCGTCAACACGGGCCTCACTGTTTTGCATGCCCAGCCCCGGGCGGGATCAGTCTTCCACGTTGTCTGACATCCGGGTTGGGATCCTTGTGTTTACATGCTGACTCTTGCTGCTCTCCCAAGCTCTGATAGCCTAACGTTTGGCGGACGTCGCGCAGCTCCAAACATACCAGGCTCAATCCCCCTAGCTATAGCTGGCAATTCCAGTTTTTTGCAGATCGCGAGTGTGCCACAAGGGCTTGTTTTGCAGAGGCCTCCTCAGGAGAAGGTACTATACCAGGCCTTAAATGAGGTTCGAAAGGTGTTTGAAGCTGGCGGGGCATCAAGGAGGGGGCATAACCACGACAACTAACCGTAACAGTGTTTGTCGGTAACCATGATAGCGAACTCCTTCTGGTAGTAGTAGCAGTACCCGCACCTTGCCCATGGCCGCGGTACCAAATGTCGATGCTGACAATCTAGTGCCTCGACAAGAACGACGTCGCTTGGTGTACAGCGATGTGGACGATACGGTTTTCCCACTGCCTAGGGATGGTTTGGAGGACAGTCCGGGGGCCTTGCATTGGGCCGTTGGCCAGTGGTTTCGCGACAATCAGCGACGTGTTGGTGATTTCTGCTCGGCTAGGCCAACAGCCTGCGGTTGGGAGAAAGTGGGCAAACGCTTTCTGTGCGAAGCCTGCGATGACGGCCGTGGGAGCCACTGGAAGTTCTTTGGCTACATCCTCGACGAACCACCTTGTTACCGCTTGTACGTCCAAGAAACCTGGCGAATGTTCTGGTCTTCCTCGTGTGATCAGGCCGCTAGTGACGCTAGTGCTCAACCCGGAGGGGCAACCTACGGAGCAGGACAGGCTGGATGTCTGGCAAGCTGCAGACACGTTGATTGCCAAAGACATTCCGCCAACCCCAACTGCAGTTTCTTTGCTTCTTCGTCCAAAACAAGTGAGTGCTGCTGCCTTGAAGCAGTTGCTGCAACGTCGCCGCAAGTGGGGCCGTGACACATCAGTTCTGGCGTCCTCAGTTCCGGACTTTGTTGATTTGGGGGGTGGCAGAGGCCAAGGCCGGATGTAGTGCGTTTCCGCTTAAACCCCCTTTTTTGGCTGGAATATCCTCTTGCCTCGGGCCTGGGGTCTCTTGGGCAGCATGCTCGTGGAGCCAGTCCGTGATCGCGCTGCTTGGGCGCGGTGCCAGCTTTTCATCCAAGGTTCTGCCCGGGCGCCTTTTCCATCTAAGGCTTATGCCGTCACGACGGACTGCGCTTACAAAGTACAGCGAATGAGTTATGCTCTTTCAGCTTTGTCTTTGCTGACGCACAGAGAGTTGGGCGGGAGGTGGGGTGTTTGCATTCGCATTTTTGCGAAAAGTTGCACGAGTTGCACGCAGGTGTAGTATCATCATGCGCTACATTGCGTGGTAGCGTTGTGGACAGGTGGCGCCGCGCGCCCCTCCCGCTCATCATCGGACGCTTCCCGGGATCCGAAGACGGCGTTGTGTGCAACGAATTGCTGGGCTTGGCTGCGCAGGGGCTTCGCAGCAGAGGGCTGGAGGCTCCTCGCCAGCCGCATGCAGACTGGTTTCCTGGCCTAGGGCAGATCTTCCAATCGCATGTCCCTTGTGGAAGAGTTGCCCAAGGCTGCTTCAGAATAGTTGCGCCCGCGTGTCCGTAAAATTATAAGCCGTGTCAGGCCTTGAACATTGCCGGCGCGCCATGCAAAGGAATCACAGTCAAGGATATGCCCCTTTGAGGGCCGTGCCGCAACGCATCGGACGTGGTCGCGGGCGCGGCCGTGGCCGCAGTGCACAAAACCGACGACCGCCGCCTCATATGAAGCAGACGCACAGACAGTTCCCATGCTTCTTGATGTTCTTTTACGAGAGTGTCTTTTTGGCCACGAAGCTTTGCTTCCACTTGTATTGGCAGACAGTGCACGCAAGGATTGAGGAGACCTGGCAGGAGCATGCAGGAGTGGATTGCGTATGTCTTTCAGCAGTACTTGTATTCTGAGACTGTGGACGGGGAAACGCGCTGGGCAGCTATACCTGGCACTGCGCAAATCTTCGGGTGGCAGGTCAATCAGCCTCTCAGCAACCAGCTGAACAGCTTTGGCGCTTGCTCAAACATCGGTTGCGGACCAAGCCCCGAGCCGCACACCTGCAACTTGCTGCTGGTGTGGAATCTCTGAGGCAGCGATGGACTGCGCCGCTGCTTCATGGCGAAGCCCGAACATGTCCGAACGGACAGAGGTGTTTTTCCCTCATGCCACCTGACCGTGCTTCTTTTGCGTTGAATGCACCCAACTCGCCGGACCAGTGGATGCTGCAGCCGGAAGGCAGAACGCTGCGAAGACCTGGTGGTGCCCAGCAGTACGCAGTGCAGCGCGGCGTGGCCATCCAGATGAAACGGAGCAATGGGAGATCCTTCATCTGCGTGGCGGCCGGTACGCCAGTTCGGATCCTTGAGGTCTACTGGACCGAATGATTGAGCATATCAGAGCCAAGACCCCCCGTGATTCGCGGGCTCTTTGGCTTCGCGACGGCGTGCTTGAGGCTGCAGAGGGCAGTCCCGATCGAGACTTTGGTTGCAACACTTCTTCGTGCGTGCGCCGTAGGAAAACGCCTTCTTTGAATCAGACTCTATTTCATACGCCTTGTCCGACATGGCTCACAGGAGTGTGTTTGCAGGGCCTGCGAAGCATGTGGTCGAAGTTCTGCCTCGTCTGCATGTCTACATGGTGGATGCCGAGGCGGTGCCTCGATGCTCTGTGGAAGGGTGCCTGCTGCCTGCCCGCACAGCTGGGCTGCGCAGGAGCTTTGGAAATTGAGGCGTTGGACTCCACAGAACCTGCCGGTCCCATTGCCACCCCGCAGACGTCGCCGATAAGAAGGATGAAGCAGCCTTGGTGCCACCTGGACGCCGCCGCCGCCGGGTTGCAGGACCCGACTTGCCGCCGCAGTTACTTTCCTAGCCGCAGTAGCGCTGCAGCTCTCCAAATCACCCTTTAACGCTGATCAAGGTCTCCACTCCATGTGCCCTGTACTCAGAGGAACAGCACCTGCAGCTAGACATGCTGGATTCTGGTGAATCCAAGAAGCCGTAGCTAGACATGAGGGATTCTGGGGAGTCCACGAAGAAGCCGTCAGGGCAGACAAAAAATGCCCGTAGGTCCTCTACAGTTCCACGAGACGAAAACACTTCAGCTCGATGCATCCCGTCCTTGACTCTTTCTGATGTTTTGGTAGGAATTTTTGTCGGCAGGTGCAGACTTTGCCCACTCCTGCTGTAGCATAACGGTTAGACGGGCGCACCAGCGTGAAGTGAGTGCTGTGCTTGACCCCCGCGCCCTGCATTTAATGCCGCATAAAAGAGCCTCGGCTTGGCTGCTCAGAGCCTGGATTCTCATGTTGTTTGATAGCTGCCATGCGAGGCCCCAGAAGCCACAGCGAAGCGTTTGGAGACAGCTGCGAAAGAGAAGGCCGCACTTGTTTTTCTGAGAGTTGCCAAGATGGCTTCGGCTAGGGAGCTAGGGGTGTGGATTCGAGTGCTTACTGGCTGCCATCGAGGCAGATGGAGAGGAGACGGCCCCGGAAGCCAAGCAGTTCCAGAAAATTGCGAAAGAGAAGGCTGGGTTCTACTCAGCAAACGGCTGCCATGCGAGGCAGATGAAAAGAGTAGTGTTTCGGTGCCCAAACGGTGATTTCGAATTAAATGCAACATGAGAGAAGCCGGCTAGGGTGTTCAGAGTCTGGATTCTCATGTTGTTTAATTGCTGCCATGCGAGGCTGATGGAAAGGAGATGGCCCCAGAAGCTACAGCGACGCAGTTGATGACAACTGCGCAGAAAAGCCTTTAAACCCGAAACCTTACTGCGGCCCACCCTAAACCAAAAACCCTTAAACCCTAAACTAACCCTAATGCAGCTCCTCATCCCGTTGGTTTGCCGGCTAAGGCTTGGCCACTCTGCTGATGACGACTGTGGCCCGGCTTTCCCAGGCCGACTAAACTAAAGTGAGAATTTTTCCTTCTGTCGCAATCCTGGGCAGGTGCTGTGACTGGCCGCTCTGATTCTGATGGTGCAGTTGGAAAAAAGATCGCCTCTCCACTGTGCCATTCGATCATTCGCATATATATATATATATACACATATACACTGTATATAAAATAACTTATATCCACGAAGATTTTTCGGAGCCCTTCTGGGGCCAAGCTAGTATTTATATATATATATATAGACTACACACACATGTGTATATATATATATACACACACACATAAACTCATGTGTTTGCTTGTGTGTGTGTGCGCGTTTGTGTATTTGTGTTTGCGACTTTTGCTGTTAACATGTTCGATTGACCCCCCATCTGCCGATACCCGTAGGCAAGAATGCTGAGTCTCAAAGATCCTGGTCCATATAACAAGCCTAAACCCCAAACCTTGAACCGTACGTCCTCGGAGACCCTACAACCCTTGAGGCAACAACGCCTGGACCTTCACGGCCTTTGCCGCGCTGGATTTGCTGGCATGTCCGGTCTCCGGTCGAGCGGAAGTGGTTAGGGTGTTAATTGAGGTTCAGGGCTTAGGGGAAATCAGTCCAGGAAGCATGGGAACTAGCAGAGACAGCTGGAGACCACTTTAAGGAAACCACTCGTTGCAAACCCGGAAATGCAGGGGCGAATTACCAAACCCGGTCTCAGCATGATGAATTGAAGCTCTTCCCACCTCCCTGGATTTTTATTGCATGTTACCGGCCGAGGTCTTGCACGCGGCAAGTGGAGCCAGCGCCCATCAACTTGAAGGCCGCATTGGTAATGAGTCTAGAAGCACTCTGAAGGATCTGATGCCAAAATGCATATACTGTACCTATATAGTGTGCGTACGCAACGCTGACCGAGCCGACACTGGGGCAGAGGGTTTAGCTTCGCCTTGCTTTCATTTTCCCTAACAGGCAGAATCTGGTCATTCGTTGGTGGGCTGCTTTGCCGGGCTGGTGACAGGCCGACATGGCATGGGAGGCATCGGCACTTAGTCAGCTGATGTTGCAGAAGCGGACTATGCTGAGTTGAGGTATGCTTCCTACAGGTGCAGTCAATGCCGCTAAGGCGATAAGGCGGGAGTCCCATGTAAGAACCGCCGACCCTTTCACAGGTGCAGAGTTCGTGGCTTTGAATTTGGCCAAGGCAACCTGCGCATGAAGCGTTGCCCTGTTCTCATATCAGTTTGTTGAGCTGGGGCGCGAGGGATATACGCGGTCTACATGGGGTCAATCCAGCAATAGAAAGCCGGCCTCACGAAAGCGGGCATGGTGAATCAAGACGTTTTAGAAGGACGGCACGTCTTAAAGTGTCGTCCAGTGAGTAGCGTGTGGATGTTCGACACCCTTAACACATTCAAGAAGCACGGTGCCTTCAAGGTAGCCAGAGCCAAGATCACACCCGGAAAGCCAATACGAAGTCGTCCCTGCCTGTCTTCACGTGAGCCGAACTTGCAAATTCAAGCAAAGCTGCATGGGTTGCCGTTGTGGCTGTGCTTGCAGCGGCTGGCTCAGACAGGGCAAAGAGGGCCGAACAGAGTCGCCTGGTTACCGATGCATCAATATGGCACTGTTCTGGGTATGGATTAGGGCCTTCATCCTGCCATTCCTGCAGCATGCTGTGGCAGAGCTTGTCGCAGGAGATTGTGCCGTGATTCAGCTGTGTCACGACGACAGCGACAGCTTCAAAATCCTGCTTTTCGAGGACCTGCTTGCTGGTGACAGCTTCTTCGTTACGGACAACGGGGTGAAGAGCGATGGGACCTTCGCTCTTCTGGGTGAAGGCGTCCTGCGGTACACAGCTTCCAGCGCGGTGCCTGCAGGCACTGTGCTTTCATACACAGGCGTTGGCGGTGACTGGACTAACGAGTCGGGCTCTTTGAACTTCCCTGGAGCTGGAGATCAGGCCATCGTTTTCAATGGCACCGTCGACTCTCCAACCTTCTTGTGCGCTCTGCAGACAGTTCACGACTTTTGGTTCAGCGACGCTACGTCACCACTTGCTTCAGCCCTTCCACCAGGCTTAACTGCGGGCTCTTCAAACGCCATTGCAGCTGGCTGTGGCAGATCGTGTTCCCCCGATGGGTTTGATGCTTGGCTTGACTTAGAGTGATGACGTGGGTGCTGTGATAGCATCCATGAAGCCTCCTGGACCCTCCTGCCAGTGGAGGTAGCACCGCAACAATTTGCAGAAACCAAGGCATCCTCCATTGAAAGCTATGTCCAAAGACTGAGAGGCAATGGAACCTGTGTGCTAAGCCAGCAGAAAACAGTCAGACCAGATGTTGAAGACCCCTTTGCTGGATGGTTGATAGAGGTGGTGATGACAGATGATGACGATGAATACAGACACCACGATGAAGAAGAAGAAGATGATGATGATGATGATGATGCAGATGATGGTTATGATGATGGTGATGATGACGATGGACGATGACGGTGAGCGTGACAACACGTGCGTGCGACTTCCACGAAATCAAAACAGTGATTGTTTTCATGACCTTCCGGCAACTTGCGATGCTGTGCCAGTCATTCAAAGCTCTTCGACGGTGGTGTTTCTTTCTGCATGGGGTGCTGTCTGACCGCCACGCCACCCTACGAGAAAGCAACACTTCATGTCAACAACAAGCCAGGAAGAGTTCCCCAAGCGGCCCGAATTGAGTAGTCTGGTTCAACGAATTCGTCAGGTCGTGAAGGCTCTCCTTGTAGCAAGGCTGCTCGTGTGGTGCAGACTTAAGGCCAATGCCTGGTACGGAGGAGCTTTAGTCAGTGGGACGACTGACGATCTCAAAACAGCCATTGCGGACGTTGCGAACAATTGGGTCGGAGACAACGCCGCATGCAGTGGTGCTCCATCAAGTTTCACCATCACGTCAGCCACAGCCGCAACCACAACCACGACCACCACAACCACCACAACCACCACAATCATCACAACCACCACAACCACCACAACCACCACAATCACCACAACCACCACAGCCACCACAACCACCACAATCACCACAGCCTCCACAACCACAACCACCACAGTCACCGCAATCACCACAGCCTCCACAACCACAACCACCACAGTCACCACAATCACCACAGCCTCCACAACCACCACAATCACCACAACCACCACAGCCACCACAACCGCCACAATCACCACAACCACCACAGCCACCACAGCCACCACAACCGCCACAACCACCACAATCACCACAGCCTCCACAACCACAACCACCACAACCACCACAACCACCACAGCCACCACAACCACAACTATAAGCACAACCGCAGCGACCTCAAGCACATCAGCAACCTCCTCAACTTCGGCCCAAACCGGCATGATCAACGGGACCTAGGGTCAGCGCGGCAGGCCTGCCAAGCAGCGTTTCAGAAGGCGATTGCGACGCCGGTTCCGGCGACATCATCAATATGCCAAAGCGACGGACCTTGCACAGGAGGTCGAACAAGCTTCCGGAAGTGGCCCTCCAGATAAGTGGGATAACTTTGGGGACACGGTCCATTTTGTGCAGCTGTCGCAACGCCGGCACGCTGAGCTCTGAGTTTGTTTATCTGGCGCACTTGCGCAGGAGGTCGAGCAAGCTTCCGGAAGTGTCCCTCCTGGGAGGAGTTTGGTGACGTGGTCCATTTTGTGCAGCTGCCGCAATGCCGGCATGCTGACTCTGAGATTGTTTATCTGGCGCGGAAGAGACGTGATAAGGTTTGCAAAACAATCGGATGCCCTTGATGTGAACATTCAGCAGCAACTTTCTGGTCAAGGAGGCTTCGTCATAGGGTTTGGGACTTCACGAAACATGCCAAGGTGGCATTGACATTGTTCCAGGTGCCCATACAAACCTTGGGATGTCTAGATGTTTCAGGGCGCTTGTTGGAAACTCTTTCGGTCATATGTATATATATATATATA